AATATGAATTTATATTAAAATGATTTTTATAACGTTATAAATTTTTTTCAAAAAACATTGAGAAATATATTATTTGATTCTATAATAAACATAAAAATAAAAATTTAGGGTTTTATATTAGTTAAACTTAATTATAAACTGATAAAGATTTACTATTGCAAAAAATAATATAATACTGTATATATAATTTATATGTATAGTTAAAATATTTATTTTATTAGCAACATAAAGTTTATATAAAGTATGATATTGTGATTTGTAAGTAAGTGATGTAAAAATGTCAATAAATATAATAATTATCTAATAATTTTAATGATGACTTATAACTGAGTATATTATTGTTGTGAAACGTTGGCCTAAATTTTTATATAATATTATACTATATATAAAATATAGTCATATTTAGTGATAGTCTTGTAATTTAAATTATCTTACAATAAAAATAAATATATTTTAAAACAATTCTATTTAACTAATATTAGTAAATATTTGATTATGTAATCTATTTATCTAAACTATATTTGCTATAAACTTCATTTATAATCATATTTTTTATTTATTACTATAAACAATAATTAAAATAATAAAATTATTGTTTTAAGTATTTACTTAATTTTTTTAATTATATTTTATTTTATCCGCCGATATTTAGCACTTACTGTAAAATATTAGAAACTTATATAAAATTTAATTATTATCATTATTACAAATGTAATTGATAACTAATCTAATTTAACAAGCACTTGTTTATAACTGACAATTGATTTTAAAATCAAAATAACAATATTGACTAAAATAAAAAATTTAATTAAAATGCTAAAATTATTGCAAAATCATTACAAAATTAAATTAATTTAAGTCTGTAAAAATAAATAGTAACTTACTAGATGTTTGATCATTTTTAAATTAAATATTATAGACAAGATTAATGACGTTTAATGTTTTATTTAAAATAATATTTATTTCATAAACAATATACTGTACTTATTTAAAATATTAGATATTAAATAAATATTTTTTATACCATAATAACAACATAGAAAAAAATATATAAATAATATAAAAATATAAAAAATCAATTTTATAAATAATAATAATGCTAATATAAATTTTTAAAAATAATGTTATTTGTAATTTATGTTAAAAGATTTTTTTAATTTAGAAATAAGCACAAATGTAAAGATATTTAAAATATAATTATTTTAAAAGAAAACCTGAATTTACCGGAAATTATTAATATATAACATATTTTACTTTTTATGCTAATTATGTCTGAAATTTAAACAATTTTTAATATATAATTTGTGTTAAATAATAAATAAGACTCACAATTGTGTTTATAGCGTCAGATTCTTATGTCATATAAGTTATTCAAATAACAAATAAATAAAATATATATAAATAAATTTTACAAAAAAAACAATTTTTATAAAATTTTATTTTGTTGTAGCTATAGATTGCCAAAACATAAGTTTTAGTCAAATCAACTTTCAATACGACATGAGTTAGTTTTATATGTTTTGTAACTAAAAATAATATATATTTGAACCAATTTTTTCTTTTAAGTTAACATTTTTTGATTGTTACTATGCCCTAAAGTTTTATTTTTTATTAAACATTTATTAAAATATATTGTTTTTATATAGTAAAACAAAATTTAAAGATAATACATCTAAATTGCTATTAATAATCATAATACTAATAAATCGTGTGTTAATTAAAATAAAATAAAACTATTAACTAAATACAAATCAAATTATAGCTCATTAAAAAGTGTCAAGAGATAGGTTTATATATATTAATATTAATAAAAAACAATATAAATATTATAAAAGAAAATACAATTTAATAATTTTAATTAATCAAAAATTAAAAATTTTAAGAACTCAAAATAAACATAATGTTTTACAATTAAAGTTATATATCATTATTATTATAAAAAAAATAATATTTATATAAAAAATTATGATTACTAAATGGTAACAAAAATAGACATTGTAATACAAAAATAAATCAAATTACTAATAAAATAAATTTATGTATTGATTAGCAATGATGACTATAGTCTATACTACAGTATAGACTATTAGATGATGTACAATATGACCTTACATATACATATAAAGTACAGTATTATAAATAAATAATTTATTGTATCAATACTGTCATTTTAGTATTTAATGATTAATTTTAATTGTGTGAATTTGTTAAATGATTAATATTAATATTATTATTGGCTTAGATATTTTACTATTGTGTAGAATAATTTGCAAGTTTACACATAAAATATATCTATTTATAAATAGCAATATTAAAAATATTAATGTTTTTAAATAAATATTTATAAATTGTTTTCCTTTGAGTGCTTCAATGTTATTAAAGTGTCGGTTAATATATATCTATAAAGTACAGTAGATATGAAATGTAAAGTTAGTATTAGATAATCATAGAAAACAACATATAAATAAATTCTAAACAAGTGTTGATTTATTATTTGATTTGGGTCACAAACATACACACACACACACACACACACACACACACACACACACACACACACACACACACACACACAGTCATCCATACATACAATTATGTCATCCCTTTTTCACATAGACATCACTATCAAGTTAAGTGTGTGAATGAAAATTTTGGTATTTTGTTATACGATAAGTCATGATATATAAACACGACTTTATAGTAAAACTTAATTAATAAATCGTTTTTTCTTAAATAATTTATTGTATTTAACAACTGTTTTAATAGCAAATATCATATTATTTATATATCTATATTATACTTATATATATATATATATATAATAAAGTTTATTTTGAGGCAATTTTTTTCTCTCAATAACGTAAAAATACTATTTTTACTGACAGGGAAGCAAACAAAATACCAGTTCCTTTCACTTAATGCCCGCTTTTTGGTTTTGAGGCCACTTTTATCGTTATAAAACCTTAACAAATATTAATCCCATATCTTTGGTGTTTTTTAAATAGTAATAGTAGTAGTCATAGTAGTAGTCATAGTAGTAGTATTTTTACAATTTAATGAACAGTATTTCCATTTTTTAAATATTTAAAACCGATTCGTTTGAGTGCAACCATAAATAGCATACCTTTTTCAAAAATGTTGATTATTTTACATTTGTATAATTTGTATACAATATTAGAACTTTTTGCTATCGTTTGTCCTAAAATTTACTTTATTATTGATTTTTTTTGTTTTAAATTGAATTTTATAATGATGTTTCGTATATTAGTCATTATTTAGTTTTTTAGTACTATTATCAGTATTTTTATTGTTATTGTGTTATATTTTTAATTATTGTCTACAATAGCATTGAATTTGTTTATTAATAATTGTCATTTTTATATCTATTTTTATAGTAAAAATTGAATTTCTACATTATAAATATAATTCAGGAAAAACATTAATAAATACAAAATATTTTTAAATAATTGTAATAAATAAATATCAATGACATTAATTATTTAATTGCTTCTTTATTAGAATTAATCTTATATAATATTATTTTATTAGTTAATATAAAATGTATTCAATATATATAAAAGATAATACACATAAATTTTAATTACTATATTGTAATAAATTTAATAAATTATAAAAGTATTTATTTATGATTATTAAAATTTGAGTCTTAAAAGCAATACTTATATTACTAGAACTAATATACATTTTATAATTTATATTATAAGTATATGAGTTAATATTAAAATATAATTTTTTTCAATTACTTATGATAAATATCATTAAAAATTATTGTTTAGTAACATTGTTAACTGATGCTAACATTATTAAACTTATCATTTTAAAGTCATTTGAACTGAAATTTTATATTTTTTTGATTAACAAAAAAAATGAAGAGACTTATGAAATAAGGAAAAAATATTAATTAAGTTTAAATAAATTTATACTCAATTTCCCGGTCAACACACATCTAAATTATAATTTAGCTGAAAGTATATAATTTTATATTTTATAAAATACTATTAATTCCAGTTTTATTTAATTAATGTAAAATCAAAATAATCAACAATAAAAAAATTACTAAATTATTATTATTTTAAAAAATATTGCTTAAGTTTTATTTTAAATATTCAATAACAATAATTAAATGTTTTTAATGTTAATGGTTCATTAAAACATAATAATTATTTTTTTAAATATTGACATTTAACTAATTATAATACATAAAGTATTTGTCATATTATAAGTAATAAATTAAATAATTATTTTCATTACTAAAATTATGTAAAATTTATTAGTTGTCTTTAATAAAGTCGATTAAATGAGTCAATTTTAAAAGCGCCAAAAGCGCGCGCACACACCATCGCAACTATGATATACTGGCAGCTCATATACACACCAGCGAACACATACCGGAGCTCTAGAAGGAGTGTTATGGAGAACCAGTTTTGTTAATATAAGGTATTTCATGTGTTTGGCAATCGAGTCATAAACCTGCTGTCAGTGTAAACCTGCTGTATAGCCATCATCTGTGAAATGGGACGGAATGGCGTACGCCTGGAGTTTGACTGAAATGCCTGGTTTGGGCCACTCATGCACTTCCTCTTTGCTTCTGCCAAACAACAAACATTTACCACCAGTTAGTCAGTCAGTAGTTAGACAAATAACGGTACATAACTGTGCTTAGAGTTTACTGATAATCAAATCATTTTTGTAAAAGAGTGACAAACTGTTGTTCATAAAAATCAATTACTTTATTGTAAAGCTTTACAAAAAAATCTTTTATCATTTAGTCATTAGTTTGATACACATGTTTGTGTTTTAATGAACAATTAATTCAAAAGTTTTAAATAGTTATTAATTAATTTATAAAAAATTATAATTTTGTATTTAAAAAATAGTTTTCAACGAATAATGAAATCCTAACATTTAATTCAACAAAATTTTAACCAAAAAATCTTTTGCTTCACAAGCGATCAATTCTTCATTTCACGTGTGAAGACATGTCGTGCAGATGTATAGACACTGCACTGTCAATCAGTTTTGAGAAATTGGGTCGTTTGATAGGCCAATATCCGGGATATTTTGTGATTGTGCCCATACTGTTGGCTGCACTGTTGGCCACCGGTTTGCAACGTCTGCATTATGAAGACGACCCGGAGTACCTGTTCTCGCCATCAGATGGTCGCTCAAAGACCGAGAGAGCCATCATTGATGACTATTTCCCTATGAATTATAGCTCTAATTTTAATTTGGGACGAATCACACATAAGGGTCGCTTCGGGCGAATCATTGTTGTGGCCAAAGATGACAGTAATATTTTGCGCCGACAAATATGGGATGAGATCATGCAATTGGATCAATCTATACGTAATATGTCCATTGAATGGGATGACACGCAATGGACATATGATGATCTGTGTGCTAAACATGAGTTCAAGTGCTGGCATAACGACATACTAGACTTTGACAACCGGATCACTGAAATTGAAGAAAAAAAGTTTTTCTTGAAGTATCCCATTTGGATCAATCATAATATATATAAGGCTTACTTCTTTCCAGCGTATATGGGAGGCGTCAAAGAGGACGCCAATAATCTGGTCGAGTCGGCCAAAGCCATACATCTCATGTACTTTTTAGACACTACTATCAAAAAGGGTGATATAAGGGGACATCTCTGGGAACAGGCATTTATGAAACACATCGCAAATACTAAATTTAAATCAATATCTGTGGCCCGATTTGTGTCGACTACACTGCAAACAGAATTGGAGGCCAACACTCATTCATTGGTCCCATTCTTCAGTATAACGATCATCATTATGTTAATCTTCAGTGTGGGCACCTGTATGATGGCTGACTGGGTTCTAAGTAAGCCATGGCTCGGTCTATTGGGTTGTGTGTCGGCCGGCTTTGCAGTGGCCGCCGCTTTTGGTCTCTGCGTGTATTGCGGTATCGAAATGATAGGAATCAATTTGGCCGCACCTTTCCTTATGTTAGGTATGTCTACATTTATATTTCATATTATTATGTCATATGTATTGCAGCTATTGCTTTCTAATTGCTTTCTTTTAGTTATATTATAGTTTTTATAAATTACTTTATTATTATTTTTATTATTATTACACCAAATCGTGTATCGCTTTAAAATTAATATAACTGTGCATTTAAATGAATGGCTTACTTATTTGAATGATTGACTGATTGAATGAATGATAAATTGTCAATAATTATACATACATTTACAATATTACTGTTAGCATTAGTACAGTATATAGCTTTGATAGGTTTTCAAATAGTCTATAACTAATGTAATATAATATTAGGTCATAAACTAGAAGTCAATTCATTAAGTCAATGAAAAGAGTTTACATAAAGTTTGCAAGAAAATCAAAATAATGTTTTAGTTGAATTTTTTTTGATAATTAAATATCAATTAAATGACAGACTTTTTGAGGTTAAAAATATGACACCAACTTATCAATAATAAGCAAAATAATTATAATGAATTTCAATCAGCACTTGTCTCTCTAATTTCTTTTACAAATTATCAATAAAATTGAATATAATTACCATAAGTTTGTTTTTTATTATATTAGTATTGTTTGTTGTTGTTGTTGTTGTTGTTGTTGTTGTTGTTGTTAAACGCATAATTACAAAAGCAAATATATGATATCCATCTCTAAGATTAAAGCCGATATCTCTAACACTACTGTTAAAAATTTATAAATTAATTAGTGTTTTTAAAAAATCATTTATATAAAATTATAGTTGATAATCAAGTTTTCAATTTGATTTACATAAACGATTCGTTCAATTATATATTGAATTCATAGTACAGTATATATAACTTATATAAGGTATTATATATGAATTATATAAGAGTTGTGTCTAATTTTAAACTTTGTTTTGTAAGATGTTTTAGTAATGATGACAACAATTTATTAAACTTTTTTTACTTGTCTTACTTCTCGTTTAAACATTAAACTAATGTGTTTTATATGACGTAACTTAATATTAAAATTTAAGTCAAAACTAGTTCACAACTGAATATTTATATTTAATATAACATAAATGTTGTGAGAAAGATGTGTGTCTTTTAAAGCGATATTGTATTTATTGATTATTTTTTATGTTATATATAATAATAAAAATATAATTTTATTTTTTAAATATGAATATTTATAACATTTATAAATATCTTTTATGTATCATATGTTTATTTAAGGTTAACTTTTTATTGCATATTTATGCTAAATCATATATATATATATATTAAATAAAATTATATATTTATTTTTTTCAATATAACACATTATATTCAATGTGAAATTGAATTTGCAAAATTTAAGATTTTAGACTTAAATGTTTTTTTAGTCAACTTTTATAGACATTTTTGCTTTTAAAATTGAGACAAAAGCCTATTGAACGGGAAATGAGTTGAAAACAGGATATTATTGTCGAAAGATTTTTCATATCTTTGCAACTCTAGTGTGACTGTGAATGACAATTGAATTTGAAGCGCAATCCATGCATAACATTATATTTATTTATGTTTTACTTAACTTTTATTTATTAAAGTCAAATAATTTGTGTAAAAAATTGTATTTTATTTTTATACAAAATAGATATCATATATATATATATATATATATATATATATATATAATTAATTCTATTAAATAATKATAATAAGAGATAGTTTATGTCCAATGAATTTGTTTTACTCATAACCAAACAAACAAAAAAATCTTATCAAATAAAATGCTTGAAATGAAAATCAGGAGACAATTTAAATGTAACCATAATTTGGACAATAATTGTATGATATCTGACATTGACTTACAACTAATTCATCCGTTTTTTAGGTCCAAAGATTCCTGAAATATTTTACTGTCGATTGTATTGTCATTGAATGTCAGCATAAATACTGACAAATAGCACAAAAAACTTTTTTTGTCAAACAAAAAGTCAATATTTATTATTTTCAATACTTTATGAATCTTGTTATTTAGTAATTAATCATAAAAATTTTGCATCACTGTTTTTATTACTTTTATTATGGAAAAAATAATACATAATTTATTATAGTTGTTTCCCATCAATATTTATTTAATATAATTATATAAAAATATTTAACGATATTTACAAAATACAAACAATTGTGTTAAGAGTTTTTATTTATTTTTATTGTTAGTATTATTATTATTATTACCATTATTTAAAATATATTACAGAATTTTTTTTATTTAAAAAGATATATAAATGATAAATAGTGAAACTGAGAGTGAAAGGCATTTATAATTATGTTATGGTGTGGTCTCTCTCTCTCTCTCTCTCTCTCTCTCTCTTATGTAGTCAATGACCAGATGTAGGTTCTCTCTCTCTCTTTCTCTTTCATAGCACTGTTATAAAACTACTTTCAAAAATGTTGGCCGACTTTCTATTTATATCTAAATATAAATTCATAGAAAGTAGTCAAGTCTTCCGCACTCATACTAACATTACTAGACCTGGAAGTGAATGAAAGTCATGTTATAAATCCATTATATTAACTCAATTCACACTATATTTATGTCTAAAGTGTTACTTTGATTATCTTTATTAATATTTTATTTTTATTTGATTTGCACGATAGAGTCTAAATAAACATAAATAAATTAATAAATTAAAAAATAATATTACAATGTATTAATAAATAATAAAATAAACTCAAATTTATCAATAATTTATTTTGAAATTTCTTCTACTTTGCGAAAAGTGGAAAATTTATGTTAATTTATAAAAAGTTATAAAAAATTTCGTAATACTGTTTATTAAATTTATTTAGTCAACAAAAATATTACAATTAATCTATTCTTTTGTTGTTATTTTAAACACTTTTTTCTTTTGAAATCAGATAATTAATTAAAAATTATTTGTGAAAATATAATTAAAAAGTAAAGTTTTTTGAAGTTATATAATACTACTATTAAATATTTGTATAAAAATTGTTTTAATTTGTTTACAATTAAGAGGTCAGAAAGGAATTTTGCCTAAAATACTTTATAAATTATCTATAAATTTAATCCTTAAATTTATTAAAAAACATTTCTTTTATTTCTAAAAATAAATTATAGCTCTAACAAAATTATAATTAAATCAACTAAAATTTTAATGTCTTTTTCATTTCAGTAAATAAATTATTAACTTAACTAATAAAGTGAATAAAATTATAAATTTAAAGAGATATTGAGGAAATTTTTGAAAAAGATTTTAATTGCGATTTTAAAAGTTAAATATAATTTTTAAAAAACAAATTACACAATAATAAATTTTTACAGTTAAGAAATATAAAGTTAAACAAAATGGAAAGAGTAGTATTGATAAAATAGTGACCGCATCTCATTGTAAATACTTATTTATACTGTCATCAGATGATAGTCTAGTAGACATCGGAAGACACGACGACCCACTGACTCAGTTAGACTGTCGGTCACCGTCCTCTCAGTGACCTAACTGAGCAATCAATCTGTTTGGGCATTAAAGTGCTCTCATGTTATGCTATTTGACCAAAATTAAAATACTCTATTTATATAATAGCTATTTGATGGTCTAACAACAACAACAACAATAACAATAAAATTAATTGCCATTAAAATTTAAAAAAAATACCAATATACAGAAACTAAAAATTATAAGTTAATTATAAGTTAGAAATTTTATTTTTTTTACAAATTAATACTATAGTAAATTATAATAATTTTTTTCTAAATAAATATTTTGTTACTAGTATTAATTATAGTAATATTATTATTTTTAATACACTTTAGTTTCTTTTTATTAAAATAATAATATGTAATACGATAATAATAGATTAAAAATAAAAATATTTTTATTTATGATTTCTTTATTAATAATATTTTATTATTTTATTAATTTTATTTTTTAAGTAGTTTATTTAATATTTTTATTATTTAAGATAATAATATAATTTTAAACAAAACTATTTTAAATATTAGGTGTCGGTATGGATGATGCGTTTGTATTGTTGGCCGCCTGGAGACGGACTAACCCATTGATGACAGTGTCCGAGCGATTGGGACACACATACTCAGAGGCAGCCGTTTCCATAACTATCACATCAGTTACTAATTTCATCTCATTTATGATCGGAACAATAACTCCATTTCCATCAGTAAAATATTAAACAATTTAAATAAATAAAAAAATATTAAAAATAATATTTAAATTTTTCTTTTAAATTTAAGGTAAGAATATTCTGCATCTACACAGCCGTAGCCGTACTCTTCACATACATATATCACATAACATTTTTCGGCGGTTGTATGGCTTTCTTTGGTCACGCAGAGAGACGTAATCTTCACGGCCTGTTATGCATACCTGTTATGCCTAAATCATTAGCTGGTATTTTTCATTACACTTAAAAATTAATCGATTAATTACGACAATTGTTTACTAATATTATTATTTATATTGAATATTATTAGAAGGAAAAGGCTATTTCTTTCGCATGCTATGCACGGGTGGCAAAAACCCGGCCGATCCTAACAATCCAAAAGATAATAAAGAGCATATAATGATGATATTCTTCAGGGATGTATTGGCCAATGCTCTAAATCGGACACCAATCAAATTGTTGGTAATTTTTGTGTTTTTTATATACCTGTCTATTGGTATCTACGGCTGTACAATGGTTAAGGAAGGACTCGATCGTAGAAAGTTATCGCGTGATGACTCATATTCGGTGCAATTTTATGACTACGAGGACCGATACTTCAGGGAATATCCTTATAGAATACAAGTGGTCGTCAATGAAACACTCAATTATGCCGATCCGGAAGTCCAGAAAAAAATCGAGAGTATGTTAGAAAAGTTTGAAGAAAGTCCTTTTGTTGCCGACAAAATACTCACAGAATCGTGGCTCAGGGCTTACCAAACATTTCTCAATCAAGAGGATAGCTTCCTATTCCTTCAAGCGCTCAACATATCGGATCAATTAGACTTTAATCGAGGTCTCAGAGATATCTTTCTTCATTTTCCATTGACTGAAGCGTTCAGAAACGACATTGTCTTCAATGATGACGGCTCTGAGATAATTGCCACCCGTTATATAATACAAACCAAGAATATAATGGATGCAAATATGGAGAAAGAAATGTTAATTGGTTTGCGTCACATCGCTGACAGTTTTCCAACTCCGGTCACTATATTTCATCAATATTTCATTTTCTTTGATCAGTTTGTGTTAGTCCGAAGTATATCAATACAGACCATATCTGTAGCGGCGGCCGTAATGATGGTTATATCACTTATATTCATACCGTCCCCTTCGTGTGCCATTTGGGTCGCTTTTTCCATTATTTCTATAGAGATCGGTGTAATCGGTTATATGACTCTATGGAATGTTAACTTAGACTCCATATCAATGATTAACTTAATTATGTGTATCGGCTTTTCAGTCGACTTTTCGGCGCACATATCATATGCTTACATATCTGCCAACGAAATTGATCCAAAAGAGAAGGTCCGGTCAGCGCTATACTCATTAGGTTTGCCTATATTTCAAGGAAGTGTATCAACAGTGTTGGGCATTATAGCGCTGGCATTTGCGCCGTCATATGTTTTCGTCACTTTTTTTAAGACTGTCTTTTTAGTCATGTTATTTGGTGCCACTCATGGAGTACTTTTGCTACCAGTCCTGCTGTCTATAACAGATTTATGTTGTAGTAGTAGCAGCCAATCGGCCAAATACAAGTCATCCAATTTGGGAGATCAAAACAATCCACCTTTTTTTGTGGGGGACAAACACTTTGACGGCAAAACTATTATGCAAAACGGAGCGCCTATTTTCATTCCGCGACCAACTTTTACCGAACTGGCCGCAGACCAAAAAGTACCTTATCGTCGATCAGACGAAGACTGTGCCACCACTTCCAAGAGTTCTGCTTCTTCTGATGGAAGTGTTGTCGCTGAGAAAGACTTGGGTTTAGGTACCAGTGCTGAGGAGTGCAGTGAAGGCAGTTGGAAGGGTAGTAAAAGCCAAACCAATAATGTGGTCACCAAACAGTCAGATATTAATCACATGACTGACAATAATATTTCAACCAATGCTTATGCAAATATGTTGAGAGACTGGTCTCAAGTGAGTGCAAAACAATACTCAAACAATGGTCATACAAATGATGGATACATAAGCGATAGCACTGACTTCTATGGTCACTATTCATCCAAAAACAAACAAAATCAATCAAAAGGTATGACCACCGGTCAGCACAGGATATCAGTTTATCATCAAATAGCTGACGCAACACACACTGACCGTAATGTATGGGAACGACAATCGGCACCGTCGGCACCGTCGACATCGAAAAATAAGAAAACTGACAAAAATAAAGATAAATCAGAGAATAGCTATTTAGTAGAAGTGGATGCAACACATCGGCACCGGGAGAAAGATCGTGATGACCAACGACACAGGGATAGAGAAAGACATCGCATTTTGAATAATAACATCGAAGTCATGTCTTCCCGGATCGATAGAAATATAGCCAATAGATATAATGGGTTTCGCCCTCAATAGCACTGTTAGCATATATTTGTATGCATTTCCCAGTATTTAAAAGGGTTTTAAGTAGCGATTAAATATTAAATTAGTTAATTATGCGTTACTCTGATAGCCCAATGCTAAGTCATTAAACATTAGCCTTAAAAGTTCATTTCATCCATAGCTCATAATTAAGTTTATTATTAACTAATAATTTGTTTGGTATTTATTTAAATGGTTTGTTGTTTGTTAAAATAATTTATGTTACTATTTGTTATATAAATATATTATAATGTTAGTATTAATTACATCATAATCATATTGATCTATATATTTGGCGCAAATGATTATATATCATAGTTTAATTTATAAGACAGTTGGTTTTATTTAATTTGTTAAACTATATATTTAGGTAATTAAAATAATTTTTTAAAATGTTATGATCATGGTCAAATATAAATGTAATAATAATAATAATAATAATAATTAAAAGAATCCTTGTTTTGTGCCAATTGTCTCAACAGTAATTGAATTACTGTTAAGCCAAAGGTTTACATTGAATGGCGAGTTATGACACAAACGTTGATATTATTGATTTAAAACATTAAAGTTTTTAAATTATAAAATACTAGTAATTTTAATAATAACAAAAATTGCGTTTAGCTTTATATAAGCTATACAATGATATATTAGTGCCTAAATTAGTTGTTATATTAGTTATTATTCTTATTTCAAAATAATTGTAAATTAATTTTTTAGTTAAGCGATAGTTTGCTCAACAATTCATAAGAAATTTGTTTTCACATAAAAAATGTTTATTTTTGTACAATATAATTATTATTAAACAAAAATTTACAATAAAATTATAATAAATTATTGTAATATTTATATTATTAATAAATATTGTATATCATTGATAATTTTGTTAATCTATGATATATATATATATATATGTGTTTTTAATTATTTGCAATTTGCAATATCAAAAACTGATTCACAGTAATGAATTAATTATACTATTATTTAAATTTGGTTATTAAAGGCAGAAAATGAAATGTTTTTCATTTAAAAAAATAAAATTATATAATACAAAAATTAATATTGTACAAAATAAAAATAATGTTTAATAAAAGCTTTAATAATATATTTAATAAAGGTATATTTTAAATCTAAAAATATAAATTTGTTAATAACTCTAATTTGTAAGTCATGTTTAATAAACTACTTTTAGTACATAAATGAGATACAAATTTAATTAAAGTAATTGTATAAATTAATTAAATAGACAGTATTAAGCTAAGATATACTGAATTTATTATAAAATGCATTTAATTAGTAAAAATTTATTTAATTAAATTGCTTTAAAATATCAGAATAACAATAGAACTCAATTACTCAAACTTTGTTATTATACATGTCTTATAACAGAAAATATTATTAATTTTTTGTTGTTTAACGGTTTTAGTCATTCTGTTAGATATAAATATAAAAATAGTAAATACAGTATTATATTAATTACATTTTATATAATAATCTATATTATATAAAACTAATATATAATAGCTTTGTTATAGTACAGTATGTATATGTAAACAACTGTAGTATTATTCAACCCGAACCGTTTTTTATAAAATTTATTTTAACTAAACTATTAAAAATTATTTTTTTTTTAAATATTACTAAAATATCTGGTTAAGTATTGTAATGCATATTTATAAAACATATTGACAAAAGTCTGAGTTTAATGAGACTTAATAATAATAAATAAAAACTGTGATAAAAATAAACTAAAATAACAAAATATCTTTAATAGAATTGTYACTTAAATAAATTATTGTAATAATTTTCAATAAAAATAAAATGTTAAAATGGTTTTGTTAAAGTAGATTTTACAAATTATATTATACAGTAATATAATAATAATAATAATAATAATAATATTGTTATTATTATTTTCATCATCATCATGTTATATTGTTTTGCATTATATATTTAAAAAAATTGAATCTTTAAAAATAGTCAAAACTATACTTAAATACATTGTATAAACATTGACAATATGTTTATATCTTTATATTCACCTTATCTTATATATACACACATATGAAAAATACATAACAGTATATAATAATATAGAATAAAACTTAATTTTAGTATATATTTTCAACTATTTAATAATAATATTTTTATACAATAGTACTGTACTTTATGTTGAATCTCATGTTTGTATTCACTTTCATTAAGTTCACAATTTTTAAAAAATTAAAATTAAAATCACTATATTATTTTATTTACATACTTTTAAAACTATTTAATTTATAATAATATGTTTAAATTAATTTAGTTAAAAAATTTGTTTTATTTAATAATTCGTTTTTAATGTTTAGCAATATCTGCTAATTATAATACACTGTTAAACATTTTTATCAACATTTTTTATACAATATATGCAAATCATTTCATATTTACATATATTAAACAAATATACAGAAGTTATGAATTTTATAACATTTTTATTATAAAAAATCAAACAAATATTAATTAKTTTAATAATTAATTTAATAATAATTTAGTCCTAATTGTTTTTTTGATGAATAACAAGTCAAATGAAATAATTAAATGAATGAATTGATGTTGAAATTTGTCACAAAATGGTATGATTTGAATGTAAAATTAGTTATTATATTACAACTAATTGTTTGTAAATAACATATAGTTTATAATAATAATAATAATAATAATATCAATAATTGTCATCAATTTTTTAGTTATATTTTGATAATAAGTTAATTGTTGGCAAATTGTCCCAAAAAAGGTGTCAATTATCGGCTTTGAAGTGCAGTCCATCCACTCGTCAATTGTTTTCAAACTTTATACTCCGGAAACTTCTTTTTTGACTTTTTCTTAGCTTTTTTGTGCAAATGTTTCTCTTTTTGTGGGCTTTGGTCATCAGTGGTGGACTCATGGATACTGTCTTTGGTGACCAGTGTTACGGTAAACCGAGATATTGTCTTTGGACTCTTTCTATCCAATGGCGAGGAAGTGTGCAGTAGTTGTTGGCCGTCTGCAGCTGTGGAGGCAGTGTCTGGCTGTGGATCTGATGATAGAGGCGTCTCAGGTAATGGATCTGTTCTCGCGATAGTTGTTGCGGCAATTGCTGTGGCAGCAGCTCTTCCGGCAGCGACTGACGATTCTGGACAATGTGGCGGAAGCACTACAGATGTGGTAAACACTTGATTAGAAGGGAAGCCATTGTATGAATCAGAGCTTAATCTTAAAGTCTCTTTAGTTTTGAGACTTAATTGTCCGCTAACTGTAAAATCACAGGAGAGGCTTACTGGAAGGGCCTCTTCACTGGCACTTCTAAGCATTGGTTGGCAAACCCCTGACCCATAAAAGGCTGCGTCGCCACTCAGGTCAGTGTCCAAAACACTTCCGTTCTCGTCTTCGTCTCGATTGTTGTCGTGAACTGTGGACGTAGTGGTCGATGTGGTGGTTGATGGCGATGGCGGTTGCATTTGCTGAATCTTTTTGGTGTACGGACACAATGATCCCGTTCCGATGAGTATGGAGCTCCTGGACGGAGAAGGACTGGTATTCAGTTTTAAACAGTTTACAGTTTGAGCACTATTTGTCAATGACTGAACCTCGAAGTTGATGACTGTTGTGGTGGCGGCGGTGGCGGTGGTATACCAGCCATCAGATGGTCTGACTGTCGGTGATGAGCGCCTAAAAGATATGCCAAGTCTTGTTCAACTAAGTGTGATTCGAGTGCACTCAATGCTGAGGAATGGTATGATGTGTGAGCAGATGGCATATGACTACCACGACCTCCACTACTGCTATATAAATGTCTATCAGATTCCGGTTCACTCATACGTATGTCATCGGAACCGGAAGGTGAGAGACCAGTATTTTGAAGCGATTGTTTCTCTAACTGTCTTAAGAGGTCTTCAAGGTTTCTGATCCTAATTGGACCGATGGGAGGCACTGAGTCTTCATCAGAACCGCTCACTTGGGAATCGGCTTTTAAATGACCTAAACCTGTGATTTGAAGCATAAAACAAAACAAATAAATAGTTAATCAATTGATTCATTATTTTTATAGTCATCGGATAATAACAAAATAAGTTTTTTTTTTGTTTTAAACAAATTACAAACAATTCAATTGATTTTCTAAGTTTATGTGCATTGTTTGCTAAATAACTGTTTTTGTTTTATTTATATATTAAATTCAATATCTATTTATAGCACTGGTATCTCATACAGAATACACCAGTGATGTCAGTGAAGTATTGATTTCTATGTCACTCTAAATATCTAATACCTCCGTATTCAGGGATCGAGTCTAAGAAGGCTTTYTTAGCGGCGTCTGATGAAGGACTCTGATGACGGACCAAATCAATGGACCGACCACTGGACGATTGGAGCGCTTCCAGCATATCGTCGTGATATCCATTTCCCAGTCCTTTAAGGCGCTCCATATCACTGAAGGCATCAGAGTTGCGATTGTTGTCCGATTGGCTCTCATTGTTATCCGAGTGACTCAATTCACTCCAACGTTCTTTTAAATGGTTGACCTCAGACTGTGTGGCCGTACCGGCGGCGATGTGTTTGAGTATACCTTTCTCCGGACCCGTCAAATGGTGAGTAATTTTGGATAAATTGTTTGGCGATAACTCWATGAACTGAGAGGTGTCGTTCATTAGCCGGTTGTGTGAATCCAAGTCTGTCTGTGAATCACTTCTCATACTATCCTTTTGTCTTTTCATTTCTTGCATTTTGTCCTCTCTATAGGACGGCATACTTCCAAACGTTATAATGCGAGACACGTTGGCGTCATTGTAGGCATCGCTCTCATTGTTTGCCGAAAACTTGCGATTATTCAACTGTTTCTTCAATTGTCGCTCAGATTTTGATGGCTTCAAACTCTGTCGTCTATAATATGAAATGAAATAACATTTTTAAAACAATTATTTATTAATTTTATTTTATTATATTCTAAATTTTAGATAACAAATCTATTCAATGTGTTATTAAATGATATACAATTAGAATTATATTTTTATATTTTAACTAATTTTACAATATTTTACTATCGCATAATAAACTATTGATTTGTTTTTACAGTAATTTTCAATTTAAATTCAATTAAAACAATGGCATAAATGAAGTGCTTATTGTATTCAATTATCATAAGTGTGAGTGAGTGAGTGTGTATGTGAGTGAGTGAGTGAGTGAGTGAGTGAGTGAGTGAGTGAGTGAATGAGAGAGAGAGAGAGAGAGAGAGAGAGAGAGAGACTTGTCATTAAAGCCATTATCCAAATGGAAGGCTTTATTTGATTCCTCTTTTATTAAGACATTTAATGATATGCTTTGATATTCATTGAGTCAATGAACGAATTGTTGTGTTTTGTGCCAATTGTACGCTTAATCCAAACATTTTTTTATTTCTTTTATTTCCTAATTTAAACAAAAAGCTCTACAAAACTTAAATAATAAAAATGATAATAACAGTAAATGTTTTACTATAAAACAAAAAACCAGTTACTATACAATTGTTTTTTCTTTTATTAAAACCTTCACTTTCAACACAAATGCAATCACAACTTATATAATTGTTTTAACATAAAACTTATTTTTTTTATCACAAAAAAACTATACCATTACATTAACATTAATATTGTTATCAATTATAAACGATTTACAATTATTATTAAATTGTATTTTTTATTTATTTTTATTTTATTTTTATTTTATTTTATTTTTATGCGTTTAGTTATAAAATCAGTGAAACTTGAAATAATTTAGTCAAACAGTATTGCTATCAAATTCTATGTCATTATATTGTATAATATATGGGAAAGTGTGGACCCATTGAAGTGCATTTCGTTTGGTTGATTGAAATGTATAGCAAACAAGTGAGGCATAAGAATCGTCGTATCAATTGATTCATTGAATCATTTATTCTGAATGTGTTTCAGATTCCGCTGTAAAAGCAATCTCAGACCGGCATATAAACACCTGTCCCAACACAACATACAAAAAACAATAACAATACAAATACAACACAACAAACAATAATAGTCTGAAAAAATTTTCTGATTCCGTAGAAATTCATTCAAAACAAGTCATTCAATAGTCGTAACAAAAAATAAGATTTTAATTCTTATACTCAAAGTTTTATTGATATTTCAAACTAAATCTTTAAATATAAAAATAAAATTTTTCGACTTTTGACTTCTCAATCCAAATCTACTATTTTACTAACATATAAAAAATACATCTATTTGTGACATAGACTATGTCGATGATATTATATATAAAATGAAAAATAAATAAAAATTTAACGATTGCTCTCTCTCTCTCTCTCCTCTCTTTGCCACCAAAATTCATATGTTCAATGCATAAACAAATATAATATAAAAATTTTCGATACAATATGTTTTGAAACGACAATATAGTGTGAAAATGTGAGTTTCAATCTGTCATCTCCTGTAATATTTGTGTCAAATAAGTTCTTTGTGAGTGTCACTCAATTATAACATTATCTGAAAAACCAAAAATCTTATCATAAAAATAAATTATATATAAACTATTTTCATAAAAGACGATAATATTTATAAAGTAATGCATTTTTGACTTATTTTTATCAAAATTACTTCATTTACATTATCATTTGTGGCATATAATTAAAATTTATATACAGTCAGACTAAGTCAATATAGTAAAAATAAATGCAATACTTTTGATTATAAAATTAAATATGAATTTAAATTATTAATTATTTACAATTTTATACATTTGATATAAAAATACTGTAGATAATAATAGATAAAATAATGTAGACTATAATAAAAGTTTTATAATTAATGCTTTTTATAAATTAAATAATTTTAATTTCTTTAAAATTAAATATATTTATAATTTATTAGAAACTATAAACAAATGTATTTTAAAATGTGAGCAAAAAAGCAAACAAATCAATAAAATTCTGGTTTGCAATCAATATAAAAAATCTGACGACTCTTTACTACTTATACTGTATAGTATTATGCTTTTTGTGCAAATATATATATATATATATATATATATATATATATATATATAAGTCAAATGTCGTGCCATTTGGTATTTGCCGTACATTACAATTATGTCTAATAACCCATACCTATAACACATGGCCAACAGCGCAAAAAATATGAAAACTCCGCCAACAATGGACACTAATATCATGACCAGATAGGGGGCTCCCAATGACTTTTTCCTATTTTCTGTAAATTATTAAATAAAATATGATTTAATTTATAGTTTAAAGTTAAAGAAAAAACAGTAATTTTTATAATACCGTATTCTTTGATAGTATTTTCTGTTGAATAGGACTCGGAATTTGATGGGTTTTGGGTGGGATTTGTAACTATTGTCGTTTGATTATCTATTATGGGCTCATCTGTGGTCATCACATAATTGGACTCTTGGCTACAGTCAACTCCCATCCAATTTTGATAACAGACACACGTATTAATGTTGGAACAGTCCTATCAAAAGCAATGGTATCAATAAATTGATTGATTATCAAAATTTAGTTGGACTCGACTCCTGCTAATTGATTGGATTCAGTGTTTTAAGTAAATATTGAAAAGTCTTATCCAAATCAATCTAATGATAGCACTATTTGTTGATATTTGTGTTAATCAGTGTTAATATAACTTACTCCATGTCCAGAGCACGTAATCTTCACATCACTAGTCGGACAATCGCCCGGTTCTATGAAAAAGTCAATACTAGTGCACGACTGGTTCACACATATCTGTGGGTAAATATTGAGCAAAAAATAAATAATACAAATAATATACGATATTAGTTAACTTTAAGAAATTTTGTTAGATTTTAAAAATAATATAAATAATTTTGTTGTTCTAAAAAAACTAATGATTATATTATTAAATATAATAAATTGTTATCTAAAAAATACATTGACATACACCTACTTTATGATCAGCACATTTGGTGCCGTCCTGTATGAGTCCCATATTTTCAATGTCGGCCCGAATGGAACCGGTGGCCACTTTGCACTCGTATTCCACTTTCTCTTTGACGACAATAGTTCGCGAGTACTCCTTATCCATGCCTTTAGTAAACGGCGATTGATTGCCAAACTGGCACTGAAGCGAACCACACATAAGATTTCTATAAATGATTTTTAAATAAATAAATAAATTTATTAATTTAATCACAATATGTTGTCAAATATAAATAAAATACAAAATAAGATGATTGACAAAACAGGTATTAGTGGTTTACAGATGAATAAACATAGCATTTAATAAAAGATAGAGTGCTTTGTAAAAACAGACAATCAATTGGACGATTGGCTTACTCTTGAGTACACTTAAGATGGATGCCATTAGTGTCTTGACCGCAATTTCCCCGAGCATTTCCCTGAGCATTGAATTGCTGAAAGCAGATGAGCTCCGAAGCTCGGGAACCCTTTCCCCAAATTACTGAACATTGGTTGTCAAGAGTGGGACACTCGCCGTGAAAACAGAATCCTTTGCCGTCTTTACAAGAATTGCCATTTTTCTTGTATATGTCTGGAGGACACTAACAATAACAACAAAATATAATAATAAATCAATAGTTAAGTGCTTTAGTTATTTCATCGATGCATTTATATTAGTACAGCACTTACAGTCCCACTTTTGCCATCACATACTTCAGGCAAATCGCATTCATCATTGGAAAGCCTACAGACGTGACCCAATGGCTTCAACTATTGATATATCAATTAAATAGTTGAAATCAAACTCTTTATAACTGTCTAATAAACAAAACAAACACTAATTAGGTTTATCTTACCTTACAGTTGACACAACAGGGTCCGGATGAACACTCGGCTTCCTGTTTGAGTTTACAAGTGATTGGATCACAACAGGGATCCCTTTCCAAACAATCGTGAAACGATCCGCAATCGCAATCTTCGTCCTCCTCAACAATTGCATTACCGCACGATTTGAAATCCTCCAATTGGTTCGGTTTGTTTAATAGGCATATCCCGTGACCCATCTGTAGGGCATTATTATACTCCTCGACAGAGCACTGGGAAAAGTGATAGGGCTGTACACGATCTTCACCTAATATATTCTTAGCCATTATACAACCCCACCAGTCGTTGCACTTACAGCTACCTGAGTGTCATTTAAACAAAATAATCAAAATCACTGTAAAAATTATTATTATAAACTAATTGTACGACAGATACATACTTTTATCATCCTTACTGTCCTCATCGTGACCCATACCTATGTTATGACCCAACATATGAGTCACAGTACTGGCAACTAAATGAGGCTCATATATGCTGGAGTCAATACTAATGGCCACAGCTTTGGCAGTGCAAATAGTATCAGGAACAGCCATACCAACTTCACCTCCACTAAAAGGCTTTCCTCTATTTAAAACATTTAATTAAAACATTAATTAAAACAAATCTATAATAAATCTAAAAGAATATTAATTAAGAAAATTTAGTGTATATTATATCACTATTATTAGTACTATTAATATAAATATTCAATTAGTATATAAATTTAATTTCTTAATAATGAAATATAAATTAAGAACATTTTGTTATATAATACCAGTGTTTGTATTTGAATAGCTAATGTTATTTGAAAGATATTTTCCAACAAAAATACTAAACAAAAAACAAAAGAAAATAAATCAAAAATGTATTTTAAGTTTTATATTTAACTTTGTTTTAAATGAGTTGAATGCAATGTTTTTGCGATAAGAAAAATGATAGCAATTTTATGTATAAGTTTTTAGTAAAGTAACTGAAATGAAATGGAAGACAAAGTTTATTGAATTGAAAAAATGATAAAATACATTGAATATTGCATTTGAAGTTTGCCATAAATGCCAAACTTTAAAAGTTATATATGATTATGCTAAACACAATCATCTAAATATATGCATATATTGTATATATATATAATAAAATATAATATGTATTGATAATATATGTTTTAAGAAATCATTGAATTTATTTTACACAAATTGTTTCAATAAAACCTTTTTAACAAATAAAGTATTTTATGACAAAATACGTTGAATTTCTTTAAGCCAATTGAAACAATAAATACAAATTACACAATAAATTGTTTTGTTGTTCACTACAAATGAAGTTGATTTAAATTTAAGACAAATTCATTATTATATGGTCTTAAAAATTTTGTATTACAAAAATCAAAATCATTTACAATAATTTGAATCTATTTTTATATTAATATTTTTTTACTTTATTTGATATTTCTATTATTAATCGCATAGACTAAAAGTAAAACTTTAAATTTTATGATTAATTTTATTTTCATAATAATATTGCAAATATAAAAATAAATGTAAAATGTGTTGACATTTTGAGAAAATTACATTTAATTTTGAAGATTGCATACAATTTAAGTTAATGTAAAACAATAAAAACATTTTGTTTTTCTTTTTTGTTATATTTATCATAACTTATATAAAGATCTTTGATATAATTTTTATGTTAACTGAGCACAACTTATATAGTTTTATAATATTATAGTAAAACAAAAAATAGTGATCCAATATATAGATATTTAAGTTGATTAATTGAAAATATATTTTGCTTTGTATCACACATATGAAGCCAACGGCACAATAATAACTCAATAGTAATAAAGTAATGTTTCTGTATTTTTAGGGGATTTCAGAATTATATATTAAGAGATAGATATATAGATTAATAGATTGAAAAATATATGTGTGTATGTATGTATGTGTGTGTGTGTCTATGTGTGTGTATGTATGTGTGTGTRTGTATGTGTGTATGTGTGTGTGTGTCTATGTGTGTGTATGTATGTGTGTGTATGTATGTGTGTATGTATGTATGTGTGTGTGTGTGTGTGTGTGTGTGTSTATGTGTGTGTATGTATGTGTGTGTATGTATGTGTGTATGTATGTGTGTGTGTGTGTGTGTGTGTGTGTGTGTGTGTATATATATATATATATATATATATATATATGTATGTATGTATGTATGTATGTGTGTGTGTGTGTGTGTGTGTGTGTGTGTGTGTGTGTGTAGAGAGAGAGAGAGAGAGAGAGAGAGAGAGAGAGAGAGAGATAGAGAGAGATAGAGAGARAGAGAGAGAGAGAGAGAGAGAAATTTACAGCATATTTTGAGTTTGCATTTAATTTGAGCACAAAATTGATTTTTTGTGAGTCGTTGACGACAAACAATAAATGCAATTCTTGTCTTTGAGCACTAAAAATGTTTTTTCGTTAACTTATTTTATATGTTTAAAAGTAACATAACACACACACACACACACACACACACACACACACACACACACACACACTCACACACACACACACACACTCTCTCACACACACACACACACACACACACACACACACACACACACAAACATACATACAAACACACACACATACACATCTATATATTCAAATATTTGAAAAAACCATTTTAAATGTATATTTGCTTTATTTTTATCAAATCAGTTCATCATATTTTTTATGCATTTTTCATTCAATATGCAAAAAAATTTAAAAATATATGCAAAATAATAAGCATATATCAATAAAATTAAAATATTATACAATAAATTGTTAACCTAAATTTTTATTTTGTTAATTTTTACAAAATATTAAATATAAATAATAAAATTATTAATTTATTAAACAATTGTTTCAAACAATGCTTTCTTGACGGCAATTAAATAAAAATAAATTTATATTAAATTTCACGACAGAAAATATAAGACCAAAAAAAGAAATAATTGTCATTTAGGTTATAATAACATACATTTTTAGAGATATATTCAACTTGTTATATATAATACAAGATATTAGCAAAAATATAAGTTATATATAATAACTAAATAATATTTTTGTGTTGTTATAATAATAAGATTTTTTTGTTGGTGTGTCGAGTGTTTCTTATAAGATATAAAATGCTTTCAAATATATATATACAATGTTTGGCACAAGTGTTATATACCACACTATATATAAAAATGTTATTATATATATGTATTATACAGTATATACTATATATAAAGATTTATATAAAGAATAGAAACTATTTATTACTATACTGTATAAAAATATATAGACATCTTATTTGGAGTCTATATATATATATATATATATATATATATATTGTATATATATTCTGATATTCTTGTTTTGCACAAGAATTTCAAAAATAGTAAGAAATGATCAAAATATGTAACAAAAAATGTCTTAATAATAAACACTGTTTAGTAGTGTAGCCATTCTTGTGAATCAAACAAATAGCGTGTTGTTGTTGTTGACGATCAATATCATAAATGTCAACAACAAAAACAAGTGGTGGTATAACTATATAAAGATATGTTATTTCTCTCTCTCTCTCTCTCTCTCTCTCTCTCTCTCTCTCTCTCTCTCACACACACACACAYACACACACATACATATACATAACGTAATCTTCTTTGCATTTATTATTAAATTATTATTCAAATTTGTTATCACTTTTGATATGTTTAACATTCAATACATTTTTCATCCAAAATAATTTCATTTGCTTAGTCTTAAAAATAATATTGTTATGAAATTCAAACAATTTCTTGGAAAAGTCAATTATGTTTTCTATTCTTTAAAATTCTTTAAATTCAATATAATTTATGCAATATTTAAATAACTTTTATATTTAACTAATTTTCAAAATCAAACAATACTGTATTACTAATACTGCATTTAATTAACGTCTATTTATAGTATTTTAAAAGGAATACCAATAAATAAAATAAGATTTTATTTATTCAATTGTTTTAATTTTATAAAATATTTAATGATATATTAAGTATACGGCGTTTGCTAAATTTAAAGTTTTAGTAATAAATCACAGTTTTTGATTAAATTTTATTTTAAATGGACTAAATATAGATATCATTTATAATAAAAAATAAAATGAAATCATTTTAATCAAAGACTTATTAAAATAAATTAATATATAGAATAAATGTATGAAGTATTGGCTCATTAAATGTAAAATTGTCTAAATTCATGAGGCATTCAGTAATTTATTTTTAAATACTGCTTTTGAGTGAATAATCAAAATTATTTTTAAAAACACTTTTTACATACTAATGTGAAATATAGAAAATCTTTATAATGTCAACAATAGATTTATTATATAATAATATAATTTAGTTGATTTTCTTTGTTATTTAAAATAAAAAGTAAAAAAATAAATAATATAACTTATTCTGTAATACAGAATACTGTCTATTTATATAACATTTCATATTAAACAAAAAAAATTTATTAAGCATATAGTTTTATAATTTTAATTAAATTTTAAAAATAAATATTTGACTTTCTATATGTAGATTTCATATGTATAGCAATAAAACATTGTATTCATTCAATAGAATAGTTATAAAAAATTAAAAATACAGTATATTATAGTACTATTAATACATTGATGAATAGGAAATCAAATATGAAATGTTTAATTTATATTATGTATGAAATCAAATAAAAAACTAAGGCAACTATATGGTTATTATTATTATTATTATTATTATTATTACTACTATTATAATATAAAAAGGTTATTGAACCGGCTTTTTGTTAACGAAATTGAGTCAATAAAAAATGTATGATTTATTAAAATTTAGTTTAATGTTTATGAGAGTAAATATTAAGATTTTAATATTATTAAAAATAGTAAAAAATAAAATGTAATAAAAATGTTTGTTAGACATTAGACATACAGTAGTAGATGAGTGGCATCGGCGTGAACTTTATAAAGTTTTTTGGAGGCATATTCCATAAAGTTGAGCAAAGTTTGTCTAACGTTGTCGTTCACATCGATTTGATTACCGTAAGCCCACGTCTCCACATAGACTACCGATACCCGAGTATTGATGAGTCGGAAGTAGACGTCCACACAGTTGATGATTTGTAGAGCATCGTTGACCACATCGGTTCGGGACATATTGCGGGCGTCAAACTGTTTTTCAAACGACAAATTGTATGATTAATATATTTGTGTAAACAGGTCTCGCATTTTTCATGTCAAGTATTTAATAGTTTGAAATATATATATATAGACAATGTCGTGTCGACACAAAAAAAAAACTATACAAACCATGTCTTTGTCGAGTATTAGCGCTAATTCCACGTACTTTTCGACGGCTCTAACGTCTCGCTTGGGTTTAGTGGCGACAGCGGGAGGTCTCCTCCGGTACTGTTTGAACCCCCACTCATGCATACGGCTATTACCGCACATGTGTCTGGACTTTGTTTCTGAAAAGTAGCGATAAATGACGTGCGGATGTCTTTTCTGTAATCCAGTTATGATAGTCCAGTCATGTTATCATATATAACGGTAATAGTTATGATAGTTATGATGTCAATCGTGGATTGCATTTCCAGTTATTTAATAGTCCAGTCGTGTGTTGTGAGGAAAGAGGCAATAGTTTCAAAAATAAATCCAAGTATTAGTCATATATAACCTTAATATTTGCCTCAGTTTTGAGCCGTAATGAGCCATCACTTACAGATAGGTCGCCGCCAACAAATGGGTGTATCACAAAAGTTTGGTTCAGCACATGTATGACACCACTGGATAGTTTTAAGATGATATACATGTAATTATATAACCAATAATATGGCCATTAAAGGAGTAACAAATCGGAAAAATAAAATAAATTATTAAAGACATAAATGTTGTTTTAATATCAGTTTTTACAACAGATATTATTTATAAAGATATCTCATTAATTAAATTTATGGTGTGCTAAACAATAATTAAAATCATAAAAATAATAAAAATAGTATATTATATTATACAGTGTTTCTGAAGTAATAAATTTGATGAAAAAAGACAAAAATAATAAAACTAAGAGATGAATAATAATGGGTATCGTTAAACAAAATGCAATACAAACATTGAATATAATAATAATAATATTATTATAATAATAATAATACAAACTTTTTTAAGACATAAGGATATTGTGCCAAATGATAATAAAATGTATATTTCATACAAACAGAGTAATACTATATATGCGTTGAGAGAGACAAAACGCGAGGGAAACACATTATTTGCAAAATTTAGTTAATTTAATAAATAATAATAAATACTATTATGTAAATCATTGCTTATCATAACATTACAAATGCAAATGAGTTGATAAAATGAGAGAAAGAGACAGACAGACAGACAGAGAGAGAGAGAGAGAGAGAGAGAGAGAGAGAGAGAGAGAGAGAGAGAGAGAGAGAGAGAGAGAGAGAGAGAATATAGAATAATGTGAACCTAATGCCATTGCAAGTCCTAAAAGCAGCCACACCACCTGGGTGATCTCTGATAGTACCATGGTAGTAACAGTGCTCTATTTCCTATATTATATATTAAATATTTGTAAGATTTATAATAATATTAATAATATCTTAACCACTTGATATGTTATAACTAAAAAAGTATATGTTAACTAAATATTAAGACATYACAATTATTATATGAGTAAAATTTTTATAGACAACAAAATAAATTTAATTATGTTGCTATTTTGTTGTTGTTRTTTTTGTTGTTACAATATTCATATATAATAATGTTGTTGTTGTTTGTGGCACAAGTGCTATGAATGTGTCTGTCCATTACAATAACTATGCGTTTCATAAATTCATGTGCGATAAACTATGCCTTTTAATGGCAATGTATCAAAAACTTTACTATATCTGCATAATAATAGTCGTTAAAAATAATATGTTTTCAAATAGATAAACTTATATCGCTATCGACTCATTTTAACAATATATTTTTTAACATTATAACAAAATTTCTGACTTTAAATCATCACTCAATTTAAAACTAATTAAATAAAATGAACAAAAATATTMCAATAAAATTAATTTATTAAATAATTCAACAAAAAATTTAAACTAAAACAAATTTAATTATAATAAGTATAAGATTTAGTGAATTATTGAGAGACATCACTATATAATACAGAAATGGTTTATCGAAATACTTTAATATTAAGTAACATATGAGAGATGAGGGCATTCATTCAAAATGCATTTTCAACACAAAAATGTTAAATCGATTGTCTATACTGGAGGTCATAATTTAAAATATGTCGATTTTTTTATTATTTGTTGTTTTCCTAGATATATATCATGTATAAAGTAAACCTCTTTTTTTTAGTACACATCCAAAAATTGTATTTATTTATTGTAAAGGACTTGTCAAAGAATATATAGAATTTAGTCAAAAATTTATAAATTATTTTGTTTATCAATAATATTAAAATAATATACTAATTATATAATTAAAAGTTTAAGATTATTTCTGATTATATATAAATATTTAATAAATCTTATTTTTGCAAATTATTTTATTTCTAATTCTATATTTTTAATAATTWAAAATATTATCAGTATACACAATATAAACAATTTATTTTCATGACAGGTACTTTATTTATAATGTATTTATATTTGCTTTTTATCAATATAAATGTTATGAGACAATAAAAAGCTTATATTGCTTATGTGCCCACATATACTGTATTTGTRATGCATTTTTATGCACTCAAAACTTTAAATACTAAAAAACAATTGTCTAACCGTAAATTCGATGCATTTGCGATGATAGTCAATGTATATATATATGTGTGTGTGTGTATGATATGTTGATGTTTGTTTCTTTTAAAATATTATTTCAAGTTTTTTGCCCAAAAACGACTATAATATTATATACTGTATATAAAATATATAGTATTAAAACAATATATTTATTCAGCAAAAAAAAAATAACAAAATAAGTTAGTGAAAAATTAAGGTGTATTTGTGTTTATAGTTCAGAGAAATAGTAAAATAGATTTTTGAGATTTTTATAATATATACGGTATATAAATATATTTTTCAATTTTAGTAAACATTTTGAAMATTTTGAACATTTTGTCAAAGAATATTCTGTATATATATACTTAAATATACAAATAAAGCACAGTATAAGCTATTGTAAAAACGGTGTCCATTTAAATGGTATAATAGAAAAAAATGTTTTGTAAAGATATGTCATTACCTGAGTTGATATTTGTTGGGCGCCTTCGGGTAAAAAGTGCTTCTGTATTAGATTTGGTGCTAAAAGATGTCTGAAATAGCATTTAAAAAGATAAGAATAAATACATACAAAATAAATAACTAATATTACAAATATTTCAATACAAAAATCATACATTCACTGACAGTTTATACTGTACTATATATAATATAAAACGTTTAGGAAATAAATGTTTGGCATTCAATTGATATGTCATTTTATGTTTGACACAACAAATCAACAATAATTGAATCTAATTTGTTGCCAAAAACTATGTGTCTATCTGTTTATATGTAAGTTATGTTTAGTATTGTTTTGTGAAGCAAACTAATCATTTGAATGACAGCCTAAAATAACTCCTAGTTTTTTACGTTTAAAAAAACTAGCGTTAAGTGAGATAAATTTGGTGACAATATCACAACATGACATCACCGGTACATACATATTGAGCTCCAACTCCAGTCTGAACTTGTAATTAAAGGCTTTGATGAGCAAAGTTGTCTTATTGTAGTGTTTGCCAGTCTATGGGATAAATAAAACACAAACAATTCAGTTAATTAACACATCTATAGATTGATATCACAAGTCATTTAATCAAATTCTGTGTTAACATTGTAATAATAATAATAATAATAATAATAATAATATCAAATGATATCAAGTATTTCATTGCTAACAAATGTTACGCTAATTAGTGTCTGACAGTAAAAAATAAATTATCCATAAAAATGAGATATCAGTTAAATAATACAAACCCGATTGGCAGTCGTATCTCTGGTGGAAATACCAGTTTTGGTCAGTTCCCTCACCTGAACCGGGTATATGACTTCAAAAAAACGACTCGGAATACTAGATATAAGGCGATTGTTTTCCGGGAACCGTAGTCTTAACCGCTCCGCTTCCTCTGCAATCAAATAACATTTAATTTTAATAGACAATCAATAAATAAATAAACAAATAAAACATAAAGTAATTTAATAATAATTATTTTTAAATAATAAAATATACTCAACAAACATAATGTAATATAAAAAATAACAAAAATATACTTTTAATTTGATAATGTTAGATTAGTAAAAATATATATATTATTAACAAACAATATAGAGTACAGTAATAGTATTTTAAATTAACATAATGATGTACTATTCAATTAGGATAATTATAATTATCACAATAGTAAAGAATATAAATTCTAAATAAAAACAATTTAATTTATTTGATCACCATTTTTCAATTTAATAGTATATAAAAAAGTATTCAAACATTTCTAATTAATAAAATGTATAAATAGTTGTGTTTAATATTTTAATACAACTAATTTTTAAAATTAATTATATTAGTGATAAAATTAAATAGTAACACATTGTTTACATTTATAATAAAATATAATTGTTTTTAAAGTAAACAATATCTTTACATTGAGTATTTGATAAATATATAATTAAATTGATTATAATCAATCACAATTTGTCACTAAAATAACTTTACTTTTAATAATTATACTAAAAAAAACTAATTGAATTGGAAGTGAATTAAAAAATAAAACATGAATTATATTATATGTTTTCTATTTTCAGTTATATAAAACACATTGAAAATTGCTATCATTTTAAAATTAAGCTAAAATACTCTATTTTTTGCAAAAACCACAACAAATACAATGATATTCTATAATGTATTGTAAAGTTCTATATAATACTGATATATCCAGCAGAGAATTGTCTAAAAAATAAGCGAAAAACATGATTATTGTATCATAAGTTTCACTTATATTGTATAATAAATAATATGGTTTTTATATTCATACAAATACTTTTCAACAAACGATATACAAATTTGAATACAAAAACCAAAAGCAATAATATATTCAAAAAATAAAAATATTTTCTTTTATATTATGTAAAAAAGMAAAAATTGAAAAAATTGGTTCAATTGATGTCTGATTTCTCGATATTGTAAAACATATCGTTTTTAACAATTGATAAAATAAAGTAAATTTTAAATATTTTGATTTCCAATTTGGTAGAAAATAAATTTTTAACGACTAATAACATATTATTTTATGAATTGATTAGATTTGATTTAAAATTTTATATTAAAATTTAATTAGTATTAATAATAAGCTAAATATTGTGTGATTTATTAGTCTAATATTCTAATTGAGATTATATTTATACAAATTATATATTAAATAAAATTTATACTTCAATTTTAGTTAATAATCAAGTATAGAATTTGACTTAAATATTGGGAAAAAATAATTATAAATAAAAAAAATTATTATTAGTTCAAAATTTTTATATGTACTGTATATGATATTAAATATACAGTATTTATATATTAAATTATTACATGAGACCGAGAGATAAATGCTCGTAAAATAGAGTATATTATGTAATGAACTAATAAACTATAATAATATATTATTTTAATAATAAGTTAGTAGTAAATTGTAATAAATAATAGTAATAATTTTGAAATTAGAAATGAAAAATATTCAAATTATTTCTATCATGTAATATACTGTACTATACAGTATATATAATATATAATAATTGAATACTGTATATAAATTATATGTATATATTGAATGAGATATTATAAACATTTGGTGGCAATCATTAATCATTGAGCGATGATCTCATTAACTCTAATAATTACTTTAACGCCCTCTCCTTTGAAGGCAACGTTAAAGGCATCTAAAGTTTGTTTGAATGGAAATCGATGTGAAATCAATGGTTTGAGCTGTACTTTACCAGAGCTGACCAATTGTATTGCCAAAGGAAAACAATTTCGGTAACGAAAAGAACCCATAACTGTAACCTCTCTAATGGCCGCCGTAGACATCGGCAGATTCATGTCTTTAGGTCCGTGACCGGTCAATAGGACAGTACCACCATCTTTGGTACTCAACATTGCCAATCTGACCATCTTCGGTGCGCCACTACATTCAAGAGTTATATCAATTGGTTTACCCATTAGCTGATGCACTGTTTGTATTAGTTGTTCTTCATTGCCATCTTTATGAACTTGTAGTATCTCATCGGCACAGATAGATTTGGCCAGTTTTAGGCGATTCATATTAGTGTCTAATACAATAACCCGAAGTGATCCAAACGCTTTAGAGATCATCATTTGAAACAAACCAATAGGACCGGCACCCGTCACCATAACAGCTGATCCGCCCTCAACACCGGCTCTTTTGGCAGCATATAAGGCAACAGATAGCGGTTCAATCATAGCTCCTTCTTCGTCAGTGATATTGTCGGGCAGTTTGAACGTGAAATCTGCCGGATGTATGAAATATTGGGTTAGAGTTCCGTCATAGGGAGGCGTCGCGTGGCATAAGATTTCATCGCATAGGTTGTACTGACCATCTTTGCAATAGGCACACAGTCTACACGACACTGCAGGTTCACAACACACCCGATCACCCACTTTAAAATTTTTAACGCCTGATCCGACAGCAGCTACCTGTGCACTAGTTTCGTGTCCCATAATAATAGGATTTTTGAGCACAAAATTTCCAATAAATCCATGTTTCCAATAGTGTACATCTGATCCACAAATGCCAACACATAATGTTCGCAATAGTAGTTCATTAGGTCCGGGCATTGGTGGTATTGGTTTGTCTTCAAGTCTCAAATCATTCACTTTATGCAAAACTGCCGATATATTGGTTTTTGGTTGCGGTATCTTATTATTACTTTTAATATGACTGCTGTCACAAATTGTCGCTAATTGGATGTAACGCTTAAAGACAATTGGATGTGAAATCAAATAATTTGTCAAATATTTGCCATAATTTTGAAATATAAATGACGGCCACGAATGTTGCTGATGATGAAGACATTGGTCTCTTAATATCATTAATATTGATTGCATTTGACATGAGATTTCAATTAATAATCACTTATTTTTCAATTACAAATTATTTATAATACAACTAATACACTAATAATTTGTAAAATATATTATAAATTAATGTTTATATTTAATTAAAATCAATAAAACAGGTATTAATCAATCAATTATCAATAGAATGAATCAATTGATTCAAATTTATTGAATGCAATGATATTATTGTATAATCGGTAATATTATAGATATTTTGTACAGTGTTTTATAAATATAAGATTTCTCGCGCTATCCTTATTGCTGTTATTTATGCTAACTATACGTACAATATATTTCAATACACAGAATATTAGGCAACTTTTATATATAAAAAATCTCTGTATTTTAGTTTTTTCTATTGACTCGACTTTCTTGTGTTTTAAACAACAAAATACTATACAATAGTAAGAAAACGATAGAAAAATATGAAAAAGTGAATCATTATGTGAACTAAAGAAAAGTCTGAAAAGATATAAAAATAAAAGAAAATCTCTTCCTTTTCAGTGATAATGAATAGAAATAATACAATAGTATTGAATGAGAGAAATGTTTGTAACGAATAGATTTTATAATAATAATAATAATAATAATAATAATAATAATAATAATAATAATAATAATAATAATAATAATAATAATAATAATAATGGCAATTGTTTGATGATTAAAAAGCACTATATTAAATAATTATCAATTTGTATATGATTTGCAATTTGTCTATAAATATAATTATGATTGAAATTACAATATTAAAAATAAAATCTTATTTATCTTTTATAATAATAGTATCTATCGGTATAAAATATTTTCTAATTATTAATTAAAGTCTAACTTTCTGAAAATATTATGATATTTATTTGGAAACATAAATAAAAAATATAATTAGTAAATATAAATGTAAATTCATATATTTATTATATATTTTAAATATCTTTGTTTACTTTTAATTAAAATAAATTTTTAGTGCTAAGTTCAAAAATTGTTTCTAATATATATATAATAAATAATTAAGATAGTTATATTTTACAAAATTTTATTTTTTTAAATGCTAAATAAATATCACTAATAATTTAAATGGCAAAAAATATAAACATTATTGATTATATGTTTTTATTATATACAGTGTTTTTAGGCTTTAATGACATAGTATTTTGGTTTTAATGATGAGATTAATAATTTTTTTAGTTTAAACACAGTTAAAGAAAAAATAATAGGTTTTATTTTATGAAAATTTCATAAATCTTTTAGCTTAACGGCATTAAATTCAAGTGTAAAAATTGCTGACCATTAATAATATACTCTAAATATTTCTAATAATCAATATATAATAAATAAAAGGTTATGAACTTATTTTTAGTATTTATAAACCAAAAGACTAAAAGAAATATAAAAATATGGAAAAAGTTAGTAAAAAATTAAAAGAATTGTATCTTATGTTATGAGTGAATGATAAATGAAAATGTCATTCAATTGTGAAATTTAATTCAAAATGTTAAGGATTGCCATCAAAATGGGAAATGGATGGCAAATATAAACTATAAAAAACAGAGTCATCTTTTTTGTAATAAAATGAAAAATTTTGGAAAATAAAGTTGAAAACAGTGGAAAATATAGAATTTTTGACATATATATAAAAGATAAATAGATAGATAGATAAACAGTGAGTGAGAGAGAGAGAGAGAGAGAGAGAGAGTCATGGGTTTGATAAGAATGACTTATTTGGTGCACCGGTAGTATTGAATGCAGAACTTACCCCCACGTCTGTTGTCATCATTAAAGTCATCTCTTATGCCATCGACATCAGTGGCTAATTGTTAGATGAATGAGGCATCACATGAAACAAATAGAAATTATATATTATTTTGTAATTTGATATCAAATGTTAACAATAGTTATATAAAATAAAATAAAAATTATCACTAATACAACACAATAAAATCAAACTAATAATTATCATTTAAATTGCATTTAACATAATTCTTGTTAAATCCATTGTCTTTATAAAATATAGTAAAAATAATTTATGTTTAAAACTCTAATAGCTTTAAAATTATTTATGATGTAATATAAAGTGCAGCTGTAAATTATTATATTATATGTCACTTATATTTTAGTTTATTATATTTGCTATATATAGATAAAACATATATATTTTAAAAAATAAAGTTTGGGTAATATCGTAATATATTGTATATTACGTTTTAAAGATTAACAACCAGACTATTTTATTGTTAAATTGTTAWATAAAATATAAGACATTTTTACTATAATATATTTTGCTATCATTAATAAACAATATGAATTGATTATTGTTAATATTGAAGTTTTTTCTATAAAATCAATTTAATTAACAAACAATGACCGATATTATGGTTTCATTGACTTAATTAATATAAAATTAAATTTAAAATGACGTTAAATAAATTATAATAAATTTGTCGCTAAAATTGTGATCAATAAAGCTATTAACTGTATGTTAGTTATAATTTTTTTTGTTGATTAAAACAATATAAATTTATCGTCTAATATTGATACAATTTATTTTACCATACAATTAGAGATAAGCAAATAAAAAGTTTCTAATAAATTTTCACTGAGAAAGTTTCTAGAAAATTTCTCAGGAATATTATAATTTACTACTTTATATAAATTTAGTACACTACAATACAAAATGTAGTACCTATATATAAAATAATTATAATTATTTAATAATAATCAGTTTTGTAAAATTTTATTATATATAAATCATAGTTTAATATAATTAAATTAATTAATTTTTTATTTTAATTAATAATTAAAATACTAATAATAATATTTTATTATTACTTATAAAAACAATGTATTGTTACAAGATAACAAATATCTAGATAACAAAATTAACATTGGGATCCCATAGATAGAAATTTCTCTATTATTTTATAAATTTCTCTTTTTTTTGCCAACACTTAGCAAACATTACAATAATTTACATTAATATAATATAACATTTGTATATATAAAGAAAAAAATTATAATATTTATAATTGAATAAAATAAAAATAAAATATGCCATTATTATTTATTTTTTAAAATAATTATATCTCAAATGTCATAAAAAAATCTTTTATATTACTATTTTTATACATACTGTATATATATATAAAGGAAAGTAATCACGAATATAGTGATTAAAAACTACCAGTGCTCACTGTATATGAACTCATATACTATACATTGTATACTGTATAAATTATATAGACAATGCTATGTATTATATTGAATATGAAATACTATACTTTAGAATATAGTAAAATAGATGTATGTGTATGTGTATGTGTATGTGTATGTGTATGTGTATGTGTATGTGTATGTGTATGTGTATGTGTATGTGTATGTGTATGTGTATGTGTATGTGTATGTGTATGTGTATGTGTATGTGTATGTGTATGTGTATGTGTATGTGTATGTGTATGTGTATGTGTATGTGTATGTGTATGTGTATGTGTATGTGTATGTGTATGTGTATGTGTATGTGTATGTGTATGTGTATGTGTATGTGTATGTGTATGTGTATGTGTATGTGTATGTGTATGTGTATGTGTATGTGTATGTGTATGTGTATGTGTATGTGTATGTGTATGTGTATGTGTATGTGTATGTGTATGTGTATGTGTATGTGTATGTGTATGTGTATGTGTATGTGTATGTGTATGTGTATGTGTATGTGTATGTGTATGTGTATGTGTATGTGTATGTGTATGTGTATGTGTATGTGTATGTGTATGTGTATGTGTATGTGTATGTGTATGTGTATGTGTATGTGTATGTGTATATTTTTGTATCTGTTTAGGATGTGTCATGAAATGCCATTCACCATCAATGCATTTACATTTGTGGAGCACTTGTATGTTATTATTGCAGTGGACTTATATCTATAAGCATTATATAAGCACATAGTGTGTGCAAACGGCAGTTTATTTGAGGCATTTTCCTATGTATTAATACTATATTTATAATATAATCGGTTAATATAAAACAGTGTTATATACTGTAGATATGTGAGCGCAAAATAGATCAATCATTTGCCAGTTATATAATAAGTCTAAGCTTTATATGTAATATTAAATTTAATGATTAAAGTGTACTAAAAATAGAGAGACATTGATTTTGATTCAAATATAAATTATTTGTTTTTTAATTTTCTCGCTTTAATTTTACGACAAATTACTAAAATACATGAACTTATAAATTGAGGCTCTTTTATGATTAATATTAACTAAATAAAGCTTATAATAAAAATATACAATATATTTATATATGTAAATAACGGCAATAATTAAGAGGATGACTATATTTTATGCATAATTGTATAATCTATATATACTTCATAGATATACAAAAATTTTCTTATATTTAATAAAGTATTAAATAAAGTGCATCTAAATTAAGCAAAATTAGTTCATTTTTAATAAGACTGTACATTACGTGCGTTAACCTTAAAGGCAAATGCAATGCAATAGTATTATTAACACTTAATCTCTTCATTAAGTCATTGCATTATCATTGAGAAGACTAGGAATACAATTTAACTTACGATAGGAATTCAATCGAGAACTGGTAGGTTTGCCTAACAGTACATGTACTGTATATATATATATATATATATATATATATATATATATATATTATATATATAATATGTATGTATTTTTTGTACCCATTTATTATATACAAGTCTTATTCAATGCACAGCAAATAAGGTGTGCTATATATAGTGTATATAAAATGCAAAAATACTGACATAAGAGAGATTACATTAGAAATATTTATTATATATGTTAAGTAATATGCAACCAAAACTCATATGTAAATAATACTATCAATATGTCTAAATGTATATAAGCTTTATATACTATATATATATACTGTATATGATGAACAAAACCAATGTTAATATTGAAGAATAAATCAAATAATATTATGGCAAATGTGAT